CTCCTCGTCTCGGGATCTGGGGCATGCACACACAAACGCCTGGCGTGAGTATAAGCCACTGGGTCCAGGACTTGAACTGCGGTCGACTGCGTGAGAGTCCAGCAACATAGCCATTAGGCTAACTGCTGGTCCCCCAAAAATCTTCTTTTTAAGAGAGATTTTTGTTATAGGGTTTGTACACTTGCCACAAAGACAGAGAGAGAAAGTGAGAAATCACCCCCAGGGGTGATTTAATACTCCAGGGGTGAAGGTCATGCCACAATCTTGTCTCCTCCATTAGCCTCTAAAAGTTTTGGGCACATATGCACACAGGATCAGTTTGAGTTTCAAGCCTCTGGGTCTGTGACTCGAAATGTGGTCAGCCATGTGGGATCCACTGTCTTAACCACCATGCCACCTTCTGGCCTCCCAAACTCTTTTTTTTTTAAAGAGAGACTTTTGCTATAGGATGCGTGTGCTTGCTGGACAGACTGAGAGACAGAAAGCTAGAGATCACCTCAGGGGCGAGGGATGTTCATGCTGCAATACCTTCTCCTCTCAGGATTTGGGGCACACAAGTACACATACCTGGTGTGAGTCTTAAACCACTAGGTCCAGGACTCCAACTATGGACAACTATGTGGGAGTCCAATGATGTAACTTACACCCTCTGCTAGTCCCCAAAACTCTTGTTTTTAAACTAAAGGAGATCAAGCTTATGAAAAGCAAAGTAAAATTTTGTTGCCATTCTCTTCTTGGGACTTTGGGCATGCATGCACACATGCCTGGAATGTTTCCCAAGCCGCCAGCTCTGGGATCTGAACCACAGTCTGCCATGTGGAATTTGTCTGCTTTAATTATCACACCATTGTCTGGCCCCTTAAGATAAATATACTTAAAAGAATTGGTATCATAGACCAGTCTGTGGTATAATGATTAAGGTGGCTGGAGACCACATAAACAGACTGTGCTGTCTCAGTCCTGGATGAGGTGGCTTAAAAAGTATGTTGGGTGAGACCAA